CCGTGCCGGTCCCCTCAGAGCCTCGTCTGCGTGCGGGCCGGGCCGGGCCGCGCTTACCGCCCGCGCTGCTGTACGCGCCCCGGGGACGAAGAAGGCCAAAAAGAGGGGAGAAGGGAAGCGGTGTGAAAGGACAGCGGCTGAGAGACCTCCCTGGCTCCATTTGACCCCACCGCGGTTAACGGGACCACGGAACATAGCACCTGCAGCAATAAGGCTGCTGCCCTACCCGGCCTCGTTTAGGTCGGTAACTGCGCCTCGGCATCGTACACTGTCGGAACGCCGATGTTCCGGACAATTGCCGTGTCCTACATTGTGATCCATAGCAAGGGGAAGATGAACTCTGACCAGCTTATAGTGGCATTAATGTAAGAAAACACCGTATTTCCTTTCAGTTTATACTGTACATAGTAGCAGAAATTGTGCCAATACCCAAACCCGTTTCCTGGATATTATGAAAAGTTAGTGTGTTTGGATGTCGATAACCCTGGCTCTACAGACCATCGCTTCCCAGCTGTGCGGCAGCACTTACCTGCGCGATGTGTTCAGCCAAATGGTGGGTCTCCCCCACCGTGGTTCTGATGTGAGGACCGAGGCTGCCGAGTGGAAATTAAGAGACACGTACCAGAATTAAAACCACATGAAACTGAACTTCCTGGTGTTTGATGTGTGATTTCTGAGACAACTCTTGGAAGTGTTTCAGCACGCTACAGGAAAACTGAGACTATGCTCGCTTCACACAACCACTTTAGAGGTGAAATACACAGCTCTGTCACAACTCTGGGAGAATCCTCGAAAAAAGTTGTACTTCAGCGGGCATTGAAATTATATCCGTGCTCGGTAACAGTATGCCATGATCACCGTTACCGTCTTTCACAGACATTGTTAGGCATCTGAACACGGGCCTGCTTCCCATCAAAAGGACGGAAATTTCCCATTACTGCTCTTAGTGCTCTTTTTTTCTAAAACCTGGACTGAACTTGAACTCAGGGTAGAACAGGACCAGCAGTAACTATAGAAAGATACTATGTCCTTTGGTGTCACTTTGTCACTATTATATAGTCAACTTGATTAAACAGTCAAACTCATTTTCAGTTTGCAAGATGATTTTTCATTTTTTTCTAATTTACGCTGTAAATAAAAAAGCAGCTTTCACTCATCTCCCTTTGAACACAATCAGAGATTATGTCAAAGATTAAAATGGTGTCCTGTTCAGAACACAGCCACTTAGAATAGGTTAAGCAGCACAGATAGGACATCAGGGAAAACAGAAACCTCAGTACTGCTGCTACATGCCAATCCAAAAGCTGTTTTGCTGGTTTAACAGGCTCTGTCTCTGTTAGGTGCCATCCTTGCAGATAGGGTGATTTTCACTTGCATAATGACTTCAATCAGATGATCTCAAAGTGTTTTAAAGATCTAAAGTTTGTTAACTCTAAGGCTTGCAGTGATTTACCTTACCATATTACAGCAGATAATGATAAAAATCTTTTGCATCCTCGTGTATTTCCAACATAGTTAATGGAGGAAAATCAAGCAAAACCATTACAGTCAGTCTCCAAATTATGCCTTGCTAGCATGTTCATCTTAAAATAATTTGCAACATAGTACTCCTAATATAGATTCTCTCTTGCCTGTAAAATGTGTACTGTTTTGTTCCTACAGTGCGGATTTAAATATCAGATATATAGTTAGAGTTAATAGCAAGGTAAAAATTACTGCTTCTGTTTCTTAGCAAAGATGTACTTTTAAATTAGCCAGGAACAAGGATGACGTGAACTGCACCACACCGTACAAAAGGCATACACCATTACATCTCAAAACTGCAATCCATTTTCTTTCCTCCCTTTGCTCTCACTACCTGCTATTTAAAGTTGATGCTACAGCATAATACTAATTAATTTAGTCATCTTATGTAGCAGATGATTGATTTATGCTAAAATAATGAAACTAAATTTAACCAATGATAAAATAATGGAAATAAATCATAACACATTCTGAGAATTTGATAAAAAGCCCAGAAAGCTGAAAAATCCTTATTAATGATTCCTAGAGCTGGCTTCAGTAGAACCTTTTTCAGACTCAAGTTAATTAGTTCCTAAATTAAAGCATTTGTGAAGGCTAATCCAGTGTTTTGGATAGAAAGATTTGGAAAACAATCCTATTTTGAGTCACGTGAAAGAAACACTTATAGACCAGAAAAATCTCTGAGAATATAAAGTAGGAAATGCAGCTCAAAAAAAAAAAAATCAAATCCCCTCAAGGTAGTAAACAACTTATATTAGGGTCTGTACTGAGGACATATTTGTGCATTTGTGAAAAGCAGAAGATGTGAGTACGCTTTTGATTGGTGAAACTCAATTTTAAAAGACCAGATAGCAAATTTCAGCAGTGATGGGCCAAGAAAGAGAGACTACCTCTCCCCTGCAACACAACTCATCAGCTTATAGGTACTGTAAGTCACATGACAAATACGGCTTTAGAAGTGAGGAAATAACTGAGCAAAAAGAGAGTTCAACTAATGTCTCAGTTATGAGTAGAAAGAATTCCAATAGTTGCCACCATATTCTGGCAACTTGTGGTTTTCCCCCCTCAAGTATTGCATGCCGGTATCATTCATACTAGACTTCGGGGTTTTTGTTTATTTTGCTTCCTCTCACATCAGCTCAATACTTATTACCTAAAACCATTCATCTTCATTTTTCATCTGACATTGTTCGCCCTCATTCAAGTTTGTAATCCTTTAATATTTCTCATGTGAGAACTGTGTTAACTTTAGCAAAGTCCTCTTCTGGAATGCCATCTAGTGGTTTTATCTCAGAAGAGACCAGCTGCTACCTTTTTCAAGACTGAAAAAGCCTTCAAAACCAACCAACGAAGCAAAGTATTTTCCACTTTTTCAATTTTCAAAAATCCAACAAATTTCTGTAATTATAGTAATCATAGTTGAAAAAAACAATACTAAAGAATGCAGTGAAAATAGTTGCTAGAGTCAATACCCTAGGTATACTTATTGTTTTTCTCTTCTACTGTCCCACTCCCTTAATACCTTGATTGTATGAAATATTATATAAAGATGTAATTAATCATTAATAATAATGTCACAGGTAAACTTGTAGGCCTAATGACTACGAAAAAACAGCTATGACAAAGTATGTTACATAATGTAATGTAGTGCAGTGGCAATCTGCAGTTTAACAAACTGCAGATTTTTTTGTCATACAGCTATATTCTTATCTTTAAACTTGCAAGAACTTTACTAATGGTACTGAAAAAACATGAGTAAAGGCAAACTCGCACAGTATCCTTAGATCTAGTTTGGATATTTTAATTGGGGCTTATAAGCTTAACTCTGTAAAGAGTTTTCAGAAGAGGCAGGCACTGTTTCCATTTAAATGTTTGAAAGAACCTAGCCAGATGTGTCAAGAAAGATCCACTATTTTTTTTCATATTACTAAGTAATATTCAAGGTCTGAATCAATAATATACGAATAAATCTATAAAGCATACGTGTTTATATACAAAGCCTTTGCAAGACCCCAATACTAAAGTTCGTGCCATGTGCATTATGCCAAGCACAGTAACGTACCCGCTAACCAAGAAACCTGTTCCTGCTGTCGCCTCAAGGGGCAGTCTGCCGTCTCGCCCTCACCCCTCCAATCTTGCGTCTTCCCAGCGCTTCCCCCGAGTCAGAATTGGTGTTTATGGGGGCAGCAAAGTCAGCCAGTTCAAGACGGCGATTCAGCTGAAATCTAAAAACCTGTTATTTTTGGTAAGCCTAGTTTTCATTACATCAGATCCCTGATCTCAGTATCTGCACAGTCATAAAGACACTGGCAGTGGCTGAGCAAAAATACACAACCAAAGGCGGGAGAGCAGGGCGGGATCATACTTTTCTACAACTTTGATTTTGATTTCAAATGGCCTGTAATATCTGTATTTGTTAACATACAAATACAGATTGTAAAAATAACTCAGAATGAGGCACAAATACCCTGTTAATAATGAATTACAAAAGGAAATAAACCAAAGGTTGTACAACACCTGAAAAGAATTTTCTTAAAACCGTTTTTGCAAGAAATTGGAAGCAGTCTTTAGATTGCTAAATGTAAGTGGACATTAGGACAAAACATGTTTTTATGAAGTTATTATCTTTAATTTAAAGACAACTGTCAGTAACAATAGATTAATAATTAACTTTTTTTTTACTTTCAAGAGGTTACACCATTTTGAAAATTATATTGGCCATCTCCACTGGTCAGAAGGAGGTTCTTCAACTAGAGGCTCCCATGGTTTCCACTGTATCATTTTTCTTGCCAGAGAAAGCTCATTTTCAGCCTGTTAATAAACACCATACACAAATTCTTAAATGCTGTACAATTGCCAAAGTATTACATTACCTCTATTTCAGTTCATTACCCCAGTGATGTCACTACCTATCACAGTCAGGGACTACCACAAATTTCATCCATAAATACCAAAAGGAACTGTGTGTTTTGGGGGTTTTGGTTTTTGTTTTTAAAAAAAACCATACTGAATCACCTCCAAATACCCAAACAGACAGTGTATTCACCTAGTCATTCCCAATGACAACTTCTTTATATTTTCCAGTCTATTTGGATTATCCCCCAATATTATTCAATCATCTTCTGCCCTTTCCACTGATTTAGACTCTGTAAGAAGCAATGTAAGTGTACATGGTATATATATAAGCATAATACAGTAAACCTGTAATTGTGTTAGGTTTTAATATGGTCATCCCAATCACTATATGACAATTCATTTTCAAATCTTTTTTTTTTTTCTGTTTGAGTGTTTTTCTGTTTAAATGTTTGGAAGATATAGAAAACTGCCAATTTTCTGAACAGAAGCTCAGCCAAAGGAACACTGAAAACCACTGCTCCCTTTTGTACCTAACCATAAATTTCCCTGCTATAGAATCATTAAGGTTGGAAAAGACCTCTAAGATCGTTGAGTCCAACCGCTGACCCAACACCACCATGCCCACTAAACCACATCCCTAAGCGCCTCATCTACACGTCTTTTAAATACTTCTAGGGATGGGGACTCAACCACTTCCCTGGGCAGCCTGTGCCAATGTTTCACCACTCTTTCAGTAAAAAAATTTTTCCTCACGTCCA